AGAGAGAATTTTTTAATATTTATTTTTTAGTTTTTGGTGAACACAACATCTTTATTTTATTTTTATGTGGTGCTGAGGATCGAACCCAGCACTCCGCGCATGCCAGGCCAGTGCACTACCGCTTGAGCCACATCCCCAGCCCTGTCCCAATTTTGAGCAGGAGAAATTTAGCATGAGTGGTATCTGCATGTTCAGGTGAAAAACTTCAGAGTGGTCAACAACTGGCTCCTTGAAGTATTCGAGTGTCTGAGGGACTAAGAGCCTAGGGGAAACCATGTACTTAACATAGAATAGCTACAAAGGTATGGAAAACCAGCAGAACCAGGGTTTATAAAAAATGCAGAATGCTTAGCATAGAACCTAAGTTTACTGTGCACATCAGCATCAAGCCCAAGACTTTAAACAAAAACCATCAAAAAAAAAAAAAGTCTCTTACCCTTTGCTGATCTTTTGAGAAAATCCAAGCCCCAGATGGTCCAGTTGTTCTCCACTGACTGGCTGTTCCTTTAGGAATCCAGTGCCTCCTACAGTGCTCTTGGTGCCTGTTCTACTCAGTCATTCTGGCATCTGGTAGTAGGCTATACACTATTTTTAGATTTCATATCTGTAGACCCTGAAGGGGTTGAAATATTATCTCCCCATTTCCTTCCATTTACCTCTGCTTATGCAGGAAGACAGAGTCACCTAAACTGCACAGTTTTTTCTGGGGTTTCCAAGGAGCAGATGGGCTAAAGATTGCATAAAACTGTCTTCCTGGCCTCAGCTCAAGACTATGAGGCATGAGGGAGGTCCTGCTGCTACTTAATATTTACTGAAAGCTCACAGAGCTCTAATATACATGAGAACAAAATTATGGAATGATCTTCAGCCTCTAGGGGACTGGGCTGAGTCTTCATTAAAAGCTACAGTGCTGACTTCCCACAGAAGCAAAGCAACAGTTAAGGAACATCACACCATCAGTGATTAGCTGGTGTGAGCAAGCAGAGCTTTTCAGCAAGATGGAGAGGCACTCCCTGTTTCTGCTGTAGGTCCCCAAAGCACAGATTCAGTTCCATATAATGCAGTTGTTATACTTTGATTATCACCATTAACTTGTTTGTGGAATCTACAAATGCTTGATGAATGTAGCCTACTATGTGTCAGGTACAGATCAAATGCTAATAACTGTTGGTAGAATGAACAAATGGAACCTCACTCAGTCTGTGAGAATGAAGTATGTGCATGTGTAGGGGGCATAAGTATAGGATTAAAAAAAAAGGTGTTGCTTGAGCTAAATTTTGAATGTGAGTGGGAGTTACCCTAGTGGATAAGGGGGAAAAAAAAAGCATTCCAGGAAGAGGTAAAAACACATGCCAAGGCATGGAGCTATATGGGGACTCCATCATGACTTAGATGATACTGAAGCCAGCCTGGGTGCTGGATAGAAATAGACAAGGAAACCTGTTTTCCCATATGAGTTAGCATCAGCTTAAAGAACTGGATTGAGGTAGTATTCTTAAAATATTTGTTTAGAAAGGAATATTCATTTGAATTTCAGGCAGAAAAGAATTGGATTTCCTAAGACTAGGAAAAGGTATACCCTGAAAAGTCCCAGGGCTAACCAATGAATACACTGCTTAGCCTTAGGACCCAACAGGAAACTTCAGAACCTACAAGGTAACTGCAGTGAATCACTGGAGTTTTCTCTGTGGGAGATTCATAAACTTCAAAAACAACCAACCTCCCCCTCCCCCCAAAAAAGCCAGTTACTTAATGCTCTTAATGCTGTTTTAGTGAGAAAACCCCCCAAAGAGGAAACATTTCTTAAAGCCAAATAGAGGTGACATATACTCATATATATACACTTCATAAACTATAGCATGCTATTGAAATACAGAGTTGTTCCATATCTTCCACATTTGCTATAAGGCAAGAGGATGACCAGTTCACTCAAAGTATATGGATGAGAGTAATTTTGGCAGGGGTCTAGAATGTGGTTGCTTAAGGTGGCATACAGTAGCAGTTGAGTTGATGCCTGGGAAAAGGCATACTCAACATTCATTATAGTAAATACTCTGTTAAGCTGTATTTCTCCCTTACTGTCCCTGTTATTTATAGTAAATGATTAGAGAAATGCAGACTGATTCTGTGGGAACTTCTCAAGGGCAAGAACTCTCATATTTATACAGTATAGTGCTGGCAAGTAAGTAGCACTTAGTATGTATGTGGGTCTCTGAGGGGATTGTTGGAACTGGAGTGGAGGAGAATGGAGAGAGATACTATAATGGAAATAGCAATCATGTTTCCATCTGAACACTGATAATCTAGGTTTCTTGGTGCAAAGCTGATAAGCAATTCCTGTCAGAACTTGGTCATTAAGATTGAGGGGTGGGGCCTGGGGTGTGGCTCAGTGGTAGAGTGCTTGCCTGGCATGTGTGAGGCACTGGGTTTGATCTTCAGCACCACATAAAAATAAATAAGTTAAAGGTATTGTGTCCATCTACAACTAAAAATTATTAAAAAAAACCCCTAAAACCAAGATTGAGGGCAGAGTAGATAATGATATATTCCCATCAGAAATGAACAAGTCAGCCAGGTGTGATAGTAATTCCAGGTGTGATAGTAAATACAGATAGCAGTCTGTAATTCCAGCAACTCAGGAAGGTGAGGCATGAGGGTCGAAAATTCAGGCCCTGCCTCTGCAACTTAGCAAGACCCTGTTACAAAATAAAATAAAAAGGGCTGGAGATGTAGCTCAGTGATAGCCCCTAAATTCAGTCTCCAAAACTACAACAAATACTCGTTTCCCCAATAAACCCCAGAGAAATTCATAAATCAATTTGGGAAATGAAGATAGCAGAAACCAAACAACATTGCTGGAGAGAAGCATGTGGGACTGAAAAATAATAGATTTTATAGCTAAAGAGATAGGAAACTATTTGCATAAATATGATCCATTTAGGAATGGGAAAAAATGCAAAGATCGAGGGAAATAGACCTCACTATTTGGTTTTACTATTCGTGTTCAAGGAAAAGGAAGCACTGTTAAAAATATGGCAACTATTGGAAAAAGAAAAACCATAAAAATGTGATCAGAAAATATGTGGAAGACCAAAGACTGAGAAATCCAGACGGTAAAATCCAGACACATTTTGTACATACTCCAATGAAACTGGGTGAGCCATTCTCTCTCTTTGTGTTTTTCTTTGGAGAGAGCATTTTTGAGAAGATTAAGGCCACCTGGTAATTCCTTCACATACATTCTAAGATGATTTAATTTGCAGACTCATACTGTGATTAAAGGGGAGTTAGGAACTATTCTTAGACATTTTGAAATCTTAATGTTTATCCAATGCTAGACATCAGGAGATGGTATTCAATGTCCAAGATTTGGGGAGCACTTAGATCAACCAAGCAATTTTTCTCCAGGGTCATGAGGGGTACAATACCAAGAGCCCTCAATAAAAAGCAATTTAGGAATAACACTGCAAGGAAAAAACTCTGAATTAGAGCAAAGATATTGTTTATAGACTTGATGCTTCTGATTTTTTTTTACAAATAGTATATACTTTTGTTTATTTTGGTCTGTTAAGATGATGAGGGGGGTTTGAAATGAGAGGATTATAAACAACTTTATAATGGGGACATGAGAACCAATATAAACCTCTGTCAGAGTTTACTCCATTGAGCTGTGCAATAAGTACCACACCCATCCTTCAGGCAGCCATAAAATTAAAAAAAAAAAACAACTTTCACTAGGTGAAGTAGGTTGTTCTGTCTCTTACTAACTGGGTATCTCAATATGTAATCCCAAGAGACTGAGGAAGCCAGTTTTATTAAAAGGAGGATGTCTCTAGGTTTGGATCCGTGTAAGAGAAGAAGGGTAACAGGAAAAAATTTCCAGAATGGTTCTATGGTAAATTTCATTGCTTGGCCCAGAGTCTATCCTGGGGCCCCAAATTAAATCCTTGGAATTTACCTGGAAGGAAAATGTTGAGGGGAGCAAGACAAGGGGGTATCAATGTCAGATAGAGACACTTTGCTCCCTAGACAACAGATTCCCAATAAGCCTTCCTTAGCTCTCAATTTCCTGCCCTCCTCCTCTTCCTCATGCAGAGGCACAGCTGTACAAAAGTATTCTGAGTGGTATTTAAGGATGAATGTCCACTGGTATGCAGACTGAGAAGGCCTAAACAATAGTGGGCAACACTCTTTCTTAAACGTAATCATGCCTTTCCTTCCTCTTCCTGAAGAGTTCTTTGGCAGAGAAGATGGCCTCAGGACATTCCATCCTCTGAATTGTTTCTCTAGTTTCCCTGAATAAGTTCTGTCAAAGATCATACCAGAGGCCTTTCCTAGACCCAACCATGTGCAGAGCCACCTCCAGTATCATTACAGTGGGGCTGCCAATGAAGGAAGCCCCACACTGAAATCTGGGGATTCAGTGGAAATCCATTCCTGTGGCAGTCTCATCTCCAGTTAAACTGTCGTCACACTTGTTTAATCATCATATTTATTGAGCATATAGTATTGCAAAGACCTATGCTTGGCACCTTAATGTAACTTATTAACAAACATTCATTCTTTCTTCTGCTTTTCCCTGGTATTTTTTTTTTTCAAACAAAATTTGAAGAACAGATCTCATGATTCCAAGCTTTGTGATCTTGGCAAATTGCTAAACCTCTATCAGTCTTGAGTATCTAAGGTTTCAGAGGGGATAATTTCATGATGCTGTTGTAAGGATTATATGAGATGTTTAAATATACCAGTATAGTGCCTGCCACACTGGTACTCAAAAATCCTTTGCATCCTTTATTTCTTCCTTCAAAGAACTTTCCTTTTAGGATGTGCCAAACTCAGTTATTTCACCCAATTATATTGCTTCTGGATGATCGGGCCCAAAGGCTCAGATCTATCTTTGCTTCAGAGGCTTGGCTGGTCCTCCTCTCCCTTGATCCCTGTGCTCTTATAGTAGCTTTTGCCTCCACTAAAGTCCAGCTTGGAGCCAAGTCCAGCTTGGAGCCAATTGGGTTTATCACCGAAAAATTCTAATTGAGGAAGGTAGGAGCAGGAAATGAACAACCACCAACAGCCCCAGAGTCCCCACCTCTGAACCATGTTGGGGGTGGGGGATAAGTGAGATGGAGCCCCCTACAGGAGGTCAAGGCCAAAGTCCTTGGAGTAATGGGAAGTCACTCAAAGATCCCATGGCAGGATCCCCCTCTCCTCAGTCAGAGGTTCCTTCTCTGGGCAGCTCTAGGGCACAGTCTAAGGTCTTTCTTCAGAGGCTTCTCTCTGGGATCTACCATGACCGCACAGGCTCCTGGGGGCTCCCTTATGTTCCTACAAGATCTTCCATGCAGTTAACTCCAGAGACCACTCTGGTGCTCACACCCCAAATTACTCAGGTCTCCCTAGGGACAGTGCCCTCTGCACTGGGGCTGGTGGCCTCCACACTAGGGCACCCTACGGCAGTAAGTGCACAGTGCTCTGGGCGTCTCCATCCACACAGGAGTCTCCCACGGGGGGAAGGCAGCGGTCACTCGGGGTTAATCCTTTTACAGAGGGACCCCCTTGGGGGCGCTCCCACACTAGCACCTCGAGAGTCCAAGAGGACAGACAGTCCGGGCCCGCAGACCCGCCCCTTCGAGTG